CCACATGACGTTTGGCAGTCATACAGGAGTTGCCTGGTCCTTGTACATGTGGATTGGCTTTCAAGCAAAATTAAGGCACTTTTTTGTAGTTTTTCTAAAAAATGTGCCTATTCATTTACGTTTAATACGCCCTTCCTTCCTATTAAAATCCTCCGGACGCTATAAATTCAATGTATAATTACATTTTCCGCATGACACATTTGTTCTAGACCTTTCTTTGGTTTTAGTAATTTTTATGATTTAATTATTGTAGGCAATGTTATATTTGCGCTATTGCAAACTTGCTAAAGATATAAATTTAATTCCTTTTTGATTTGTATAATATTTTTAAATAAATTTTTTAATATTTTTTTTGCTTATTACCAAATTTTAAGGTAATTATCATGGGATTTCATTTATTTAAAAATATAACAACTTCGTTTTTGCACATTGGTTACTCTTTGTTTGGTTGCATCACGTTGAAAATTACGTTTCGCGTTCGTTCTTGATTTTTACGTGGACTGATGGGAGGTAAGAGGCGGCAAGGCAAAGGTGGTGTTGAGGGTGGGGACGTCGAGCATACTGCGAAAGCGCTGACTAACATGAAGGTTGGCGAATCGAAAGAGGACTGCTCAAAGGATCTCTTTGGGATTTGCCCTATGCATCAATCACAATCACTTGAAGGACCCAATTACACTGAAATTCACGACTTGTTTGATGAGAAATACGTGGATCAAGAGATTTGTGTTCGTGCTCGACTCCACCGCAGTCGTGCTAAGGGAAAATTGTGTTTTATTGTGCTTAGGGAACGGCAGTATTTGTTGCAATGTGTTTTATCCAGTGGGGAGAAAGTTTCCAAGGCGATGCTTAAATTTGCTGGAAAGTAGGTTTTTGGATTTAACAGTCTATACAGCTGAAAGTTGTTTGCTTGCTGCGACTTTTCCGTTAACTTTTTAGCAATAGGATTTGTAGTTCCCAGCAATGTTACACTATCCGTTATTTCAAATTTTCATTTTTTGCTTCGTCATTGATTATAAGCAAATGCCTATTTCATTATTAGCATATCCAAGGAATCCATAGTTGATGTGCACGGGGTGGTTAGGGTTTCACCGGTACCTATTGAGGGATGCTTCCCTGACAATATCGAACTTCACGTTGCCAAAGTGTTCGTTATCAGCGCATCTTCACCCATCCTCCCCTTTCAAATTGAGGATGCTATGCGAACGGATGAAGAAAATGATGCTGTAAATAATGTGCAACAATAACTTTTGATGTGATTTGTGTGGTTTATTTGTCATCCTTTTTGTAGAACCTGTCGCGAGTCAATCAAGATACTCGCCTTGATAATCGTTTCATTGATCTTCGAACCCCAGCTAATCAAGCGATTTATCGTGTTGAGCATGGTGTAGTCCATCTTTTCATGAATTATCTCGACGATCATGGGTTCACTATGATTCACACCCCAAAGATCATTGGAGGTGCTTCTGAAGGCGGTGCTAATGTATTTAAATTCCAGTACTTCAATTCTGAAGCATGTCTTGCTCAATCGCCTCAACTCTACAAGCAGATGGCGATTGCTGCTGACTTTGGGCGCGTACGTTACTTCTTCCATTTTTTATCTATTTAGTGTAGTTTAGATTAATGTCGTTTATTGTTATAGGTATACACGATTGGTGGCGTGTTTCGTGCTGAAGACTCCAACACTCATAGACATTTGTGCGAATTTGTTGGTTTAGATTTGGAAATCGCCTTTAAGACGCATTATCACGAAGTTGTTGACCTTATTGCTGATATGTTTGTCAGTATTTTCAAAGGTCTTCAGAGCCAGTGAGTGTATTTTTATTGCTTTTAATCTACAATACGAACTTTCCGAAAAACTCCTCTTTTAGATATGCGGCGGAAATCGAGGCAGTTGGCAAGCAATACAAAGCAGAACCATTCGAATTTACTGAGCCGACGTGCGTTTCTAGCATTTTCAAACTTTTCATGCAATTCTCTGTCCTGCTTGCAGTGTTTATGCTATAGTTTGAAACTGAAGTTTGCTGAAGGCATAAAGATGCTGAGAGAAGCTGGGTGGGACGTGGAGGAATTTGGCGATTTAAGCACCCCAGCTGAGAAGTTTTTGGGGAAGTTGGTGAAGGAGAAGTACAAGACGGACTTCTACATCCTGGACAAATTTCCCTTGGCAATTCGTCCATTTTACACCATGCCTGACCCGCACAACGAGGTAACACAGATCTGCGAACGTAGCGCACTCCCTTATTTTAAATGGCGCCTTCACTATTCTTTGAAATCCAATCCTCCCTTGCTCCGTTTATTACATCAGTTCAAATCATTTTTGATGCCACTCCTAATAGAAATTTAACTATCCATTTTTAGTGTAGTCTTGAGGTGTTCGTTTGCATGCTTTTTACAAAATTCATACAATTTTACTGGGTCTGGGGTAAACGAGTTTTGCATTTTAGGCTCTCTCAAATTCTTACGACTTCTTCATGCGTGGTGAGGAGATCATGTCCGGTGCGCAGCGAATTCATGATCCGGAGTTCCTGACAGAAAGAGCTAAAGCTCATGGCATTGGTGGGTAACGTCCTCATCACAACAAAAACGCAGAATTGCAGTTTTTTAGATAAAAACCCCGTTGAATTTTTTCATTTTTGTTTAGACGTGAAGACTATTCAATCGTACATTGATTCCTTCCGCTATGGATGTCCGCCCCATGCTGGTGGTGGCATTGGTAAGCTCTCAAATTATTGATCTCCTAAGATCATTGGAATTGCTCCTAGCATCAAGAGTGTATAGCATTTCCACTTCTATAAACGAATATTTTGTCATCTTCTAGGTCTTGAACGTGTAACTATGCTTTTCTTGGGCCTGGACAACATTCGAAAGGTTTCAATGTTTCCTCGAGATCCTAAACGTCTGGCCCCCTAGGTCTTGTCATTAGTCTTCGATTCCTCAATTTTTAAAATCTTTGGAGAATAAATTGTAGACTGAACAGGAATGTCTCGTGTTGGCTGATTAAAACAAACCAATTCTCTACTTCTTGTCCCATCTCTGAGGACATTTAACCGATGGAACGCCTTGATTTTAACTGATCTTGTCTGTGGTTGGGTTGTCTTAGTACATTACCTGCGCTTGAGCAACATTAGTATGAGGGGCCTGGAGACTCATAGCGTAAGATTTCAGGGTTAAGAAACTATTCCTGTTTGGAAAAGGGTCAGAAGGCTAGGTGTTGGATTCGATTCCATAAGGAAGTTGATTTTTGGTAGTGTTTGAGGGCTTAGCATCGATGAGCTTGTCTATGTTACCTGTGGACGAAATGGAATCTATCAGCGATGGAGAATTACTTTACGACTGGAGGCACTCCTAACAGCAGAGAGCAGGTCGTTCATGACTACAGCTAATTTACGTTTCAAGTTGCAAAGCGACTTCGTAGTCTGAATGGAATAACCGGAGTATCCAACCTACTGAGGAATCAGCTCATGCAAACTCGCTCCATCCCGAGCTGCTTAGTGTTTAACATTGGTCCAATGCTGAATTCATAAATGAAGTCAGGGGGGGCTAGTTTGTTTTTTTTCAAACACAACTCACATGAAGAAAGAGTTCTTCAGGACACCACCTAAAAAGAGACGAAACATTGATATTATTGACATATTGTTGCTACTTCTGTTAACTCGCTGGAAAACTCACCCATCACCCACGGCCATCCTATTCCATCTTGAGAATGGGGTTAAAGGCCCTGGATGAATAGGAGAATCAGAGTTGCCCCGCGTGGGAGGCAAATGCTCCAAATCGTATCGGATGCGCTACTGTCGAATTGTACGCTAAGAGATGTGTCAATAAGTGTACATTATTGATGCCTTAACATCAGCTGACTGACGACACTAAGGCAGGACGGAGAGGGCTTAATGGCGCGCTTGGGGTTGGCGTCATTTCGATTCAAATTCCCATCAATTCAGTCTGCGCCATGGAGTTGGCCGTAGTAAATGTTGGCCAAATGCCTAGGGATATCAAATGAAATTCACTTGACAGAAGGCAGTGCGAGCAGTAGAGAAAAATGAGAATCAAATAGTCTCACTGGCATCATATCTCCCTTTCTTGGAACACTGGGTTCTGCAGCAGTAGTACTGTTCTTATCATCTTCGTCCTCCTCTTGCTGCGACGCTTCATAACTTCAATTGAAAAAAGGCTTGTGATATGCCGATAAACATTTCAACGCAATACCCATGAGGGTGGCTCACGCTGACAGTTCAGTTCTCTCTTTGATCGTATGCATCGGCCGCAGTTTGAATGTGCCTGACTTGAATTCCTTCACAATATCCGATATTCGAATAGCCTTTGATGGTAGCACGAACATTTTCTTCGGTTTTAAAGACTCCTTAAAGAACAAACGACATGCCTACCACGTGGAGACTTCGATTCGCAGCCACTTTTAGCATCAAACATGAGTTCAATATGATAATTACACGCAATCAGACGAAGGCGTGCGACGTAAAGACAAAATACCTTCTGAGTGGCAACATTGGTTTTCCAAGCCAGTGCGGGAGGTGGTGGCGGTGGTGGTGGTGGTGGTGGTGGTGGTGGGAGGTGCAAGACTGCTGGAGCTGGATCCACGAATGTGCGAAGGCCAACAGAGACTGGACATACAGAGGGGAAGTTACAATGACACTGACAAGCGCGACCATCCCCAGCGCCTCTTATTCCAGCTGCGTTCTCTGTCATGCAGGCCACCTCTGCTGTATTCAACTGCTTCGGATAGCCTTTAGTATCGCTGTCTCTTTCCCACCTCCGCGATTCAACTAATCCCATTATTTCATAGATCAAATCGTCGAGACTTTGATCGACGCTGACTAACCTATCGACTAGAGCATCACCTTTAAACATAGATAAATAGTTAACAATCTTATTTGTACTTAAAATGCTTTATCAAACAGTCCATTCGATTATAAATAATTCATTTAATTAATGTATTTAATCAACGCCACTACAAAACTGCTATTAAAAAGAGCACAAGCGTTAGAAAACAATCTCAAGCCTATACATATACTCATAATTTAATGGAAGGTGCAAATTTCGGTCAGTTACCTTCTTCTTGTTTGAAAAGAACATCCCTCTGGAAACCTCGTACAACTCCAGACTGCATTTTTATGTGCATTCTCTTTTGATTCCTTTCAATTAAAGTAAAATCAGTTAAAACCTCCTTTACAGGTAACGAAGCACCCATGACATTTACTTCCCATCGTAAGAGAGGTTCAGAGTTCTCTGTGTTGTGACAACTGGTGGTTCCAATCAGTCTCTTTTGACACTTCCATGTGCAGTGCTCCCATACCATGCTTAAAGTAGTTGTACACCTAGTCTCTTCACACACTGAACTAATGCCAGAGATCGGAGTGGTGTACTGTCCGTACATTGTTTGAGTTCCAGTTAGTTCATTGATGAATGAAAGCTTCAGTTTCTGTCCAAAGCGCCCATACAGTGTAAAACGAATTCGAGGATCGAATATGTTGAAGGAAAAGGAATTTTTTCGACTTTCGATACTATGAAGTGGATAATCCGGCGATACAGCCTGCAATCAAAAAATACAGTGAGTCAGGACTGTCTATATAGTTACAGCACACATGATAGACAGGAATAACACTGGAAAATAATACGACATGAATGCATTATCTTGTATTTTAGAAGCATTCGATTTTCCCATTTTAAACCGATTCAAAAGGCTTTCGATAACATCTTGTATCAAAGACCTTAGGTTCACCAAATTTACTGGAATTCGGCATCGACTGTGAACATGGGAATGGGGAAATATTATTTCACGCCCAAACAAAATTAGCGTATGCTCTCGGTGGAAAGCGGGCGAACGCGTAAAGAAATGTACCCCATATGCGACGGTATTGGAACAATTGCTCGAAGTTACATCCAACGCCTTGGTCGTTTTCCTGTTCCGAATGGTGTTGTATATCAGCACTGACATTGCATAAGTGAACGCAGCGTAACTCAATACTGAACTCTTGACAAAAGTGCAGATGCATACATTATTCAATAAATGTTGTTACACAGAACTAGATCAAATACGATGGAGTCACAACAAACATATTTGCAAAAAGTGGGGTAATTTCATCAAGTGGCAGTAAATATGGCCAATCCTTCGTCTTATGTATCCTTTTACTTATGATATTTAATCAGTTTAATGCCGAATCATAAAAATTTTGCTTCGATAGAAAGTAATGATGGCATAAGCGCACAAATAACTCTGGATAGGTTTGAATGTTTTACTGTTAACTGCATAGCGCATAGTCAGATATTTTAAATTATCCAAGAATTACAAAAACATGCGCCCACACAATTAATTAGGCTAAAAAATAAATGATACGGGAGAAACGAACCCAAACTCTTGGTGTTATTTCGAAACCCACATCCCCTAACTCATTCATTGAAATAAACTAGGAAGCCTATTCGTAGAAAACGCCGCCTCAACCGAAAGCCAATCGGCATGGTAACAGTTCGGGTAGGTGATTGCAACAAACGCAAGGAAGAATATTGCTTTGTACATTACGATAGATTCGTAAGTTTGATGCCATCTACGCTCATCAGCAGCGGTGTTGAAGGCGGTAAAAAATAATGTATTATTCACAGGCCCATCGGACACCATGGAAAAAGATAGCCAAAAGATTACTAAAGAACAAGTAAATTTTGTCACTTTAGTTGCCTGAAATTCGTGATCACTCTGGCAATACAATTTTGAACTGGATGGACAGATATAGGGCACGTAAAAGAAAACCGTCAAATTTTGCAAGAGGTTATGCGTAAGGATATTGCGAATAAAAATACGGATTAAAATATGGTCCAATTATTGAAAACAACCTGATCTCGTTCAACGTTAACTCTAAATTATTGATTGCCATTAAACAGTATTTTAGTAAATGGAACTAATACAACGCATAGATAGCTGCGATTGCCGTTGAATATCAAAGCGCCCCGAGACTTCCAAGCCAGTATAAGAAATCAGTAAGTGCACCATTATACATGAATTCTGAAGACAAAAGGACAGTTGGACCAGGACGTAGCCCGAAAGCCAATCCACATGTACAAGGACCAGAAAACTCCATTATCCCTATATTTTCGGAATAGTTTGGTATTGCGAATCATTGAACTATTTAAAAG